AATATTCCAATAGTCACATGCATGTGTTATTTTTCAGAGATTAATTCCTTATCCATTAAAAAGTTCTGGATGAGATAGGGATGCCATAGAAGGGACTTCTGCATGGATTCCTGCACTACGCGGAAAGTCAGAAGAGAGTGGGAGAAAATTGTGTTTCTTCTTTCATTAAGATTCTAATACCAGTTTTGAAAAGTGAGAGTCTGAGATGTGATTTATAATAAAAAAATATGTATTTGGTGTTTATCTCTGTTTCTGGCATAGAAATCTTCTAAGCACTGAGAGTAATAAAGGTAAATGTACTGTAATGTTCATAACAAGCTCCTTTCAACCATACCTGAGTTTAGTTTAATCAGATGCCTTTTGGAAAGCCCCAAAGATGGTGACTGGTTGCCAGGGGAACTAGTCACATGATTAGAGGGGAGAACTGATAGCCTGAAAATAGACTTAATCATTAAAGGCCAAAGATTTAACTAATTATGCCGACAGAATAAGGTCCCTATAAACAAAACAAATGGTATTGGGGTGGCCTGGGACCATAAATTAACGTGCAAATGATTAAAGCATAAACTTAGACTCAAGTGAAATCAGTTCAAGAGCTTTCAGGTTGGCAATCACATGGAGGCACTAGAAAGTGATGTGTCTGGACAAGACTTGGGAGCACATTCTGTCTTCCCATTCATTAATCTCTGTCTTCCATTTTGCTATTCCTGAGGTGTATCCTTTATAATGAATGGATAAAGATAACAAAAATGACGCCTTGAGTTCTGTGAGTGGTGACAGCAAGTGATCAATCATAAGGGGATGGTTATGGCAACTCCCAACTGTAGCCAAGTTGTCAAGAGGGAATCCATTATTTGTGATAGGTGTCTGATACAGGGGCAGTCTTCTTGACCAAGCCCTTCACCTGTGGGGTCTTCACCATTTCCAAGCAATTGCCATAATTTAATTATAGATCAGACACCTATTCTGGTCCCTAGGGACATTGTGGACGAATTTATATGAGAAAATGTATAACTTTCAGTGTTAGAAATGAAGTACTGAAAGGACAATAAAGTGTCAAGAAGTTCTCTTTCAGAGAGGTCAAAATTTTAAAAAAAGCTTTAAATTAAAAAAAGAAAAATCTAGTCAAACTGTTGAACCCTAAATTCAAATGACCAGAATACCTCAACTCATTAATTCGGGTTATATAGGTTGGGTAAAAGAGATAGTAATTTCATGCAAGAGATGTGATTATTTTTCCTTCTTCTATGGGTCCATAGGCTTAGTAATAAGTCTTAGACATTGAAACGTATTGATTGACAGGATAAATTTACCCAGCACTAACAAAATCTGCCCATTAGATATTGTTGCAGGGCTTGAACTCAGGGCCTGAGCACTGTCCTTGAGCAGTTTATGCTCATGGCTAGTGCTCTACCACGTTTGAGTCACAGCACCATTTCCATAGAGGATTTTTAATTCAGCAACACAGGTCTTTACTTTTAACCAAACAAAAAATACTCTCTAAACAATTACAGCTATAACTTTAAATGATTGTTTCATAATCTTGACATTAAAACCCAATATGCTGAGAATTTTTTTTAAAAATTCAATGTTTAGTGCTAAATTGAGGTCTTGGCCAAGATCGGTGTAGCCCCATATCCTCTGCCCACGTGGAGGGAAATGGCATCCACCTCATAAGTTCTGTGAGTCACTGGCTACCTGAGAGAGAACATATGACCCAGGCCAGTCTGGAGGAGTGAGAACATATTTTAAAAGATAATTGCTAGTTTAAAATTCACTGATATTTATATAGAGTTTGAATTATTCTTCTCTAGGTTTAGTTGATTCCCAGAGAAATGCCAAGATTAACTATAATATAGATTAACTATAATACATTAAATTTCTCAATGACGAGAATCACAGGACCAGGTACTGTGTTCGATTTGGGGGCACAGGGGTGAACAAAAGCAATCTGATCTTTGATTTTGGAGAGCTTCTAGTCTTGTCGGCATGAATGTCATACAAGTCTGATATGATGGGATATGAAATCATTCTTTAAATGCAGGAAAGTAGGTTCTAACATTGAGTAATCTAATGGCTCTGATTTTAGTTAAGTAAAATAACGTGACATTTTAAACTCTAGGTATATATTAAAATTACCATAAATACAAAATGTGATTGCCTTATTTCTTTGTTTTCTTGGTCGATCGTGGGGCTTGAACTTTGAGCTTGGGTGCTGTCCCTCCGCTCTTCATCTCAAGGCGAGTGGTCTTACCACTTGAGCCACAGCACCACTTCCAGTTTTCTGGTGGTTTATTGGAGATAAGAGTTTCACAGACTTTCCTGCTGACTTTGAATCGTGATCCTCAGATCTCAGCCTCCTGAGTGGCTAGGATTACAGGCGTGAGCCACTGGTGCCTGGCTATGTACTTATTTTTTTAATTATTAAAAAATTATCTTGAAGTGCCTCATAAATATTCATAATGGGGACTTTTCTATATAACTTTTTGTTTTTACCTAAGGAATAAGGACTTTGGTTTGCATCAATCGCTTAACTTCAAATGCTACCAGTTATGAACCTTTTTTACTACACACCTATGGATAGTCTGACTGGCTCTTTCACAAATAGGCCCATTTGAACACAGAAGGTCCATTTTGCTACTATTGAGGAAGTAATGCTACAACTGGCTTCACGAATATATTGGCCCAACGGATTATTCAGAAACAGATTTCCCTTCTTCCCTCAACCTCAGCAATTTTCATTCTAATGACACTTCCAACTGAAAAATATTCTACATCCAAGCCACTTGCCTTGGTTGAGTCATACTAAATTATGCAGTATTATGTTGCATCCCATATGGCCTATTATAGGATATACAATATTTAATTATTTGCATGTTCAGATATAGATGTCTCAAGGTGCTACCTGTATTTCAGGATTTGTCTTGCAAATGTGTTTTATAGATAGCCTTGATGAAGGCCAATAAAAGGTAAACACTTCTAATACTCATTGTACTAAATATGCATTTTCCATACAGAATGTTAAAAAAATATTGGCATCTGTTTGAAGAACTTGTTAAGCTTCTGTAATTTTGTACCAGCAAGTATCTGGAATATGCCTTGAAGCAACTTCTGTTTACAGACAAAGTCTGTAAGATATCCAAAATACCACTGTGATATGTTTACAGTTTATAAAAGAATTAAATATCAAGTCCTTTTGGATGTGCATTTCTAAATGAGCATTAAGTGAATTGGGGGGAAAAACTAGAAAATGTTCGTATCTAGCACATGCTAAATGAATGATTATATTCTTCCATTTATTAGCCTACTTTTGGTTGCTGAGGAACTACCTAATGGTCAATAAAGTCATGACTAGGAATCGGTTTACTTTCTAAAATGGATTTCACCTGGAAATGTCAGTTCTATGCAACCAACTGTGTCATCTTGGGCCTGTGAGCAATGATACTGAACTACTGACAGATGGTGAATTTTGAGATGAGTTCCAACTAATTCTGACAGGCATCACTTCCCACCATTCTTGGTTAAAAACTAACTTCCAATAGTGTTTTTTTTTTGGGGGGGGGGGGAGGGATGATGAAACCTCTCCATGAAATATGCTTAATATCACAAATTGTTATCCATAATTTCTTTTGTGGGGAGGAAGAATGAGTCCATGTAGGGAGTTGGGGTAACTTCTAAATAAATCCAAGAGTTTGTTACACCTTACCTCCTGTCAAATTAATTCTTCACGCCTCAGGAAACTACCTCCTGGGGAAAAAGTCATGTTACACTGATAAAAATATTATTTACTAGAAGTGTTACAATTTACTCTGCACAGTTTGTTTAGTTCAGTTCATTTTCATGGCTTGTCTTTTAAGTTTTCCTATAAAACTAGCACATTTCTTCAAGGGTCAAGAAGATCCTCAAGGGCTTGGGGTCAGTAGTAGCATATGCTTTCCTTAATATGTATGGTGCTCTAGATTTAATCCCCAACATTCTCTATTCTCTCTCCCAAATCATCATCAAAGTAGTTAAGAAAGTACTCCTGGATGGTTGGATAGCACCGAGTTAATTAGCTAATTAGACTTATGATCATTGTTTTAAAGCTGAGACTATCATTGAGAAGAAAGCCTATCTTACAGGATTTGAAAGCAAGAGTTAAGATCACGGACTTTCAGTACTCAGAAACATTCATTTCTTGAACGATTTGTACTCTAGTGGGAAGATCTCAGGGTAGCTCCATCAAAGTTCGGCCAAAAAGATGACTTTGGTACAAGCATTAGTTTGTAGTTAAAACTGATTTAGGAAAAGTTCACATGAAAGAGTGGGAAGTTCACATAGACCTATGTCACTGTAGTTACTGATGGATGCTCTACCATTTCCCACTATATATAATTTTCTTTTTGATACTATTTCCACCTGGCTTTGCCTCTCCTGTTGCCAGGGATGGGATGGCTAGACAAATGCCAAGCACATGTGTATGTAATAGTTCAGACTATGCAAAGGACAGTAATGAGACAGGAAAACCAAGCTTTAAAAAAATCTACATCTTTAATATATTGATGAGTATTTATGATGGTTTTTAAAACAATATTTACAAAAACTTTATGGGCACAGCTATCTACATTTTTACATTGAAATATTTTGTGAAAAAAAAGTCATATGTAAAATAGTGGATGAAACCATAATAGTACACCAAATACATCTTGGGCTACATTTTTAATCACTTCTAAATTCTCCTGACTTTGAAAACAACAGGTAACTTTACTATTATTTTCTAAAATGTTTTAGTCACTTAGCTGTACCATAGTGAAACTAGCATAATGCTAACTTAGGAATCTGAAAGGGTAACAAATACTTTAAAAATTGCAAGCATAATTTTGTTGAAATTCTTTATTTAAAATAAAAAAAAAACCCTCAAAGTTTCACTTCTTGCTTGTTGAAGATACTTGAGTGAACAGCTTTAGATGGTCTTCTTTCACAAACTGAGACAGTTTTACAAGCACACTTGACCACTTTTTCTTGATTTTGAAATAAGTTATCTTAGATTTCCTTTTGAAATATTTCTTCCAAATTTTCTATCCATGTTTGAATTTATAGGTTTATACCCTGGAGGAAAAAAAAAAACCAAGGGTTCATAAATACAGTGAAAGTATCATTCAACAAGGGTTTTCACCATTTATCTTATACAAATTTATGGAAAACTATAATCAAAGTAACATGACCTTGACATATATTGTTGTGAATTTAGATGGTTTAAATGACAACAACAAAAGAACATTGATACCTTTGGTTTAAGTCTTGTATCATCTTCCTTTCTCATATTGAACACTAAAGTTTCAGTGAGTCTATATACATATTTACCAAAGTGAAGTCATGAAAATAAACTACCTTCACATTCTTTCTTTCTCACTGATGCAGGACTATTTCTGTAAGTATTTGTTCCCTTTTACTTTTGCATAAGCAGTTTTTTGTTCTTTGGATTATTTCCTCAGGGCTTTGAAACTTTCATGTTTTTGCTTCTAGCACTTCCTAATTGGTTGATACACATCATGTAGTTCTCTTTTCTACCTGTTCCCACTTTTTTGGTTCTGCATTAGCTTTCACAGTCATTCTGCAACCAACAAGATGATATTAGGATAGGGTGTCACTGATTTCAATAAACAAGTGTTTATCTACTTGCTTTCTTGGTCACGGTAGGTTTTAGATTCAGAGGTACATATTTTCTTGACAAAATTTCTCATTTTTCTGCTCAGTTTATAGTAGTTATATTCTTCCATGTGGATGGCTTTTTGTTTTTCTATTTGTATACTGTTGGAGAACTTAGGTGAGTATAACCAAAGGAAGGAAATAGCATGTTTTTGCTTTCCTCTTCATTTGTACTACTACTACTACTACTACTACTACTACTACTTCTACTACCACTACTACTACTACTACTACTATTATTGCTTATTGCATAGGCTTGAACTCCAAGCCTGAGAACTGTCCCTGTGCTTTTTCACCTCAAGGCTGGTACTGTCACTTGAGCCACAGCTCCACTTCTGGCTTTCTGTTTATTAACTGGAGATACTTTCTGCTTATTAACTGGGACTTTTCTGCTCAGGTTGGCTTTGAGTTGTGATTCTCAGATCTTAGCCTCCTATGTGGCTAGGTTTATAGGCATGAGCCACCAACCCCTGGCTTATCTGTATCATTTTAATGTATATAAAACATTATCTTCTCTTATAAACTAATACCTAAGTGCTTCACTATCCTAAAGAATCTAATTTTGTAACCTACTATCAGCTCTTTTTTTTCCCCATGTGACAAGCAGAATAATAGACATTCTTGGTGTTTTTATACCATTTTCAGGCAATAAACAAATCAAATAAAATTTCTATGGTTTGAAATTTTCCTGAATATATTATTCCTTTACATTCCAAATGCTACTATAGGACAAAATGAATGCTTACTAAGTAAATGCTTTCTCTATGAAGTGTTAGAAACTGCAGTACCAGACAGGTACAGGTCTAGATAGCATGGCTCAGATATGGCTGGCATGATACACTTCCAGATCACCTGAAATGCCTTATTCCATAGATTTAGGTCATCCCCTGCAAAGGTGAGGGAATACTATCACCCTTTAACCTTGTCAATGGGAGTGACCAAATGTTTATAGCTATGAGCCTGCCTGTGTAGTATCTAGTGAATCAGAGACCATTAAAAGTAACAAGGTGAGAGAAAAATTTCAAGCAGGTATATTTATAAAATATACTTAATTAACTTAATAAATAACAAAGTTACTTATTTCAATTATTAGCTTACTTATTTGCCCATTTTCCCGAAACATGCAGCAATCCCACTAACAAAAAGAATATAGTTAGTTGGGAGATCAGGTTCTAAGTTCTGACTCTACCATAAGATTTCTGGCCAAGTACTTTACGTTTTGTGTCTTTAAGTTTCCTTATCTGTGAAATGTGGAAAACAATATTTGTTTTACTGCACAATACAGGTGATGAGTACTACATAAAAGGAGATTTTTATGAAGACATCATGCAAAGAAATTCTGAATGTTACATACCCATGCCACTAACTATCAAATTAAGAGCTTAGACATACCCACTGTTGCTCTGTTTTCCTGTAAGAGCTTATCACTTGAATTATCTTGTCGAATCCGTTTGGCAAATCCATGATTTTCTTCAATAGTTAATGGCATATCTGATGAAGAACTTGAAAGGAAAAATTTAAATTTAGGTAAAGCATCATCTTTGTTATAGTCTATGTAACAGTGATAAAAAATACTTCAAAATTGGAGGTGATAAATATATTTCTGGTCCATAGAGAAATCTTTATAATTTTGGAGATACTGGGATTGGAACTTAGGGTCTTCTACTTGAGCTCTTCGTTTAGTTTATTTCCTGGTCTTGTACTAGGATCCTTCTATCTCTGTCTCCCACATAGCTAGATTAAATATGTACATTCAATAGGGTCTTGCTAAATTTTTTTTTTTTTTCAAAAGTGAACTGTTAACCTCCTCATGTACCTGGGATTATAGACACATGCCATCACATCCAGGTGCCCACAGAACAATCTAGTTGTGTGTACTTTTTATATTTACTCAATTTGCACAATGTTGTTACAGGGTATGGAACAATTCTGTAGCAGACTGTTTCCAGGCTGTTCTGGTGAAATGAGTGAATTGCTGCCCATATTTACGAGGGGTAAAAAATATAAGCTTCCATGACCAATTTGAAGGAAGAACCCTGATCTGGGAATGTAAATAAGTTATACTAATTTAAAGCCTGTTTTTAAAATCAAAGCACAGTAATAGATTGTAATACAGTTAAAAATGTGTTTGTAATTATTGAAACAGCGAAAAATGATCTATTGTCATTCATCCCATCTTCAAAAATTTAACAAATTTCACAATGGTAATATTGAAACACTTATTCTAACCTTATATTATAGGATATATATATATATATATATATGCATAATCTCTGCCTTAAAATATATACAATGGACATAGTGGGGGATATGGAAAAATAAATACTTAAATGATATATGGCAGAATGAAGAAAACAGTACACAGATATTCTGATTCAACAGAGACTGAAAAGATCTGATAAAGTTTGATCAGAGTTCTGAAAAATAACTTTCCTAGCACTAAGTGGACTTAATTTTTTTTTTTTTGGTCGGTAGTGGACCTTGAACTCTGGGCTTGGGTGCTGTCCCTGTGCTCTTCAGCTCAAGGTGAGCACTCTACTGCTTGAGCCACAGCACCACTTCCAGTTTTTAAGTAGTTTACTGGAGATAAGAGTCTCATGGACTTTTCTGCCAGGGCTGGCTTTGAACCGTGATCCTCAGATCTCAACCTCCTGAGTAGCTAGGATCATTGGTGTGAGCCACCAGAGCCTGGCTTTTTAGGTGGACTGAATTTTAACAGGCAGGTGTAAGGATAGAAGATGAATACTCACTGATTCTTCTACCCTGAATCAAATAAGCTAATTTTTGCCTGATAAAGATACTGTATGTTATCATACAAATTTATGTTAATATGATTGGTAGCTATATTAGGAACTGGGGGCTTCTTTTTAATGGCAACTTGCTTTTCTGAAAGTGTGAATCATTTAGTAAATTGGTGAGAGAAGATGCATTAATTGTATACTCATTGCAAAGTTGGAAAAAATAGCCCAGTTTTTGAACCCAATGGAAGTAGAGAAAAGCAGCTGAACAGATATACATCAATTTTCCAGAAACCCAGAGAGAAACAATTATGATGTTCATAATGGTCACTGTACCTACAGTGTTAAAAAATACAAATGATACATAAACACTATGTTTACAAAGAAGCATTAGTATGATACAAGTAAACAAACTCAACTGTAGATAGTTTTCATTATTAAACACACTTTTGGACTACATTTCTTGAAGTATAAAAGTTATGATCACTGACTACTTTGGGAAAAATGCTTTCTTTACAGTTTATGTTGAAATTATCCTTATTATATTATGGAGTCATTTTTTTTTTACTTTGGTTAGTTCTCAGTCCTTATATTTTATTCACAGCATGCTCTTATTTGAATATTAGGTTTTTGAATGTATCTGCTAGATTAAAATTCCTCTTTCTAGGAATGAAAGAAAACAAGTTGCATATTTTTATGAGTAAAAAATAGCAAAAAATTTCTGGGTTTTAGATGAAACAGGCTATTGATGAAATGTTGTAACATTTAAAGTTGGACAATAAAATCAGATGCCATAAAACTGATCTGAGTGCAAAGTCAAATTATATTAAAGACAATATTTAGAAGAAATCTGAGGACTTCTGTGTAACAAATGTGTTTTCCATAAATATTGATGTTATGGACAACTATTTTACATCGTTACAGATGTAAAATGAGACATTTTTAAACAAATGAAAAATATATAGCAAGTGCAAGACCACTTTTGAGTGTTAAGAAGATTGTGGAGCAAATATTACCAACCAACCAACTGGGCTGGGCTGGGCTGTAGCTCAATGGCACAGTGCTTGCCTTGTAAGCACAACACCCTAGGTTTGATCACCAGTACCAAAAGTAAAAGACAAAAAACACCCCCAAAAATAAAAACCAAAAAAAACCAGTTAAGAATAACTATACAAATAAACTTCAGGGCTGGGAAGGTGGCTTAGTGGTAGAGTGCTCGCCTTGCATGCATGAAGCCCTGGGTTTGATTCCTCAGCACCACATAAGCAGAAAAAGCCGCAAGTGGCACTGTGGCTCAAGTGATAGAGTGCTAGCCTTGAGCTGATGAGCTAAGGGACAACACCCAGGACCAGAGTTCAGGCCCCACAACTGACAAAATAAATAAACTTCACAAATTTTTGATTATTATATTAATAAAAATTATGTGTACATGCTGTATTTATGTATTTGGTGCACTAATTTCTTTAGTCAATTGGTCTGCCTTCATGAAGTTTACAAAACTAACGTTCTCTATTCTTGTAATAAGATAAAATTCATTTTTACAGATATTGAAAAACTTGAGTCTTTTAAATGCCTTTTTTTAGAAAGAAAAATTAGTATAAGGCAGATAAAATAAATATACCTTGAAGCTCACTTTATTTTTAAAAAATAACACAACACATACAAACCTAAATATGCATATAAAGCTACCAAAATACTAGTGGAAAATACCAGAATTTATTACTCGCAAGTCCATGTAGCTTTAATTGGGAAAAAGGAAGATTAAAAAAAAAGTAATTATGTACATTTCTAGCATTAATCTCTTTTAACCTTAGTTAATGGCAGGATCTAATTATTGGTACTAGAGGGAATGAAATAGAATAATTAATGGGGTATGAAAAAAAATAAAGGTACTTTCTTTACATGTCTTTTGATATTATTTCACAATATTAGCTAATGTGGTTATCCTTAAACTTATCTACAACTCCAAACACATAATTCACATACTTAGACATTTCTGAAAAATCATGTGTCTAATAATGGTTATGTTTACATTTTACAAGTATTCTTAATGATGAACAGTTACCACATTTTGATAAATATAGCAGAAAATGGATGCTACCAGTAGAAAACCAGAAAACTCAACAGAAATGGATTGAAAGGATAAAATTATCATAATTAGTGATAACATAGATGAAACATGATAGCGAGCTGTTAGGCTCACTAGTGAGCCAGATTAATTACATAATTTAAGCCTGTCTCTTAGAATATTCAGTAGTTACTCCTCATCCTCTGGCTATTAAGACCACCAGTAGATGCCTGAAGTTATGGATAGTACCAAAGCCAATATATGCTCTTTTTTCCTGCACATCCATATTTATAATAAGCTTTTAGATTTAATTGCTAGTATTCCTACTCTTTTTTTTTTTTTTTGTTGGTTTCGGGGCTTGAACTCTGGGCTTGGGCGCTGTCCCTGCGCTCTTCAGCTCAAGGCGAGTGCTCTACTGCTTGAGCCACATTGCCACTTTCAGTTTTCTAGTGCTTTATTGGAGATAAGAGTGTCACAGAGTTTCCTGCCTGGGCTGGCTTTGAACTGTGATCCTCAGATCTCAGTCTCCTGAGTAGCTAGGATTACAGCGTGAGCCATAGGTGCCCAGCACATTCCTACTATTTTTGAGATAGTAAGTAAAATAAAGTTTACTTGAATAAGAAGCACTGTGATACTATGTTGACTTTCTAAACTAGATATCATCTAAGGGATTAACAAATGGGTTGTGTACATAAAGTAGATATATTGTATAAAGGACTAATTCATTTAGAGGGGTGGATAGCACAGGATTTTATAATACTATTCAGAATGATGTGCAATTGTAGATTTCTGGAATTTTCCACTTAGTATTATCAAATCTTGGCTGATTGTAGGAAATGGAAAAGAGTAAAATCAAAACTGGGTACAGGGAGACTATTATAAAAATGTTTAAATCTCATGGACAGTCAGTGATATTTAGGGAAAAAAAATCAACATCTGAATTCAAATATTATACATTCCAAGTTATTTCTGTACATTAGGAGGGCAAAGAGAAAGCCTACATTTATCTATGAGAAAGTATTCCATGAAGTGAAATTAGCAGACTTTCTGTACATTCTTGTGGCTCAGGTGACAAAATAGAAAATAGGGAAATTGAAAAAGCTTCATTAAGGTCTTCTTTCACAACTTAGTATACCATTTGGATATTAGTGTTTTATTAGCACGTAGTTAGGTGTGTTTCTTTTTGTATTATTCCTGATGTAGCTTGCAGGAATTCTTGAATCTGAGATTAAATGTCTTCTACTCTATACTTGCCATCTTGTTATCTCTTTATGCATCAGTGTGGGTACTTTTTCTATCTGCCAACCATCCAGGTTTCTGAAATGTGTTTTTGCTGTTCTGATGAAACTGTTAAAGTTGATTTACTGAATTATTAATTTCAGTTCTAGAATATCCATTCTACATTGTTAAAACAAACAAATCATAGTTACAATTTTAATATTCTTATCTTCTAATCCTAATCTCTACACTGTGAATCATTGCTTCTCTAAATTGTTTTCTCTTAATTTTTAGTCATGTGGTCATGTCTCTTGACATACCTGGTACTTTTTGTTAAATACATAAAGTATATTTTGTTAAATATATAAAAACTGTAGAGGCTCTGGATAGTATATTCACCCAGTGATACTAAATTCTGTTTTAGCAAGTTAAACTAGAGATAGATTGCCTTGGTCCAAAGATTTAGTTGGAAATTGATCTAAGGTCTATTTAAGGCTTTTAAGAACTGGTCTATTTCAAGTTTGTTCTCTATTATGGCACAGATGTGTGATGATTTCAAATAAAATCCCGTTTGTCTTATTTATTGTGATCCCTGAACTCAACTTTTTATGTTTCAGTTCCAATAGAATGCTAAAACTCTTTCAAATACTTTAGTTTTTCAACAGCTACTTTCAGCTTGGTCTCTTCTCCTCTCTTAATTAAATCCTCCACCCCCATCTTAATCTCTCTGTCTCTCTTCTTTCCAATACTGAGTCTTGAACTCAGGGACTCATGCTTGCTCAGCTTTCTTGCTCCCATCTGGCACTCTTATTACTTGTCTCTATAGTATGTTTGTCCTTTGTCTAGGATGTTACACCTTTGAGTATCAGCTGCCTCAACCGTTCCCTAGTGCCTTCATTCGGCTGTTGTATTTCGTTCAGCTTTTATAATTATGAGGTAGTTGCAGCTGCTTTTATGAATGTCTTCGTCTTATATAAGCTATATTGCCAGAGCAAGAAATAGCAGACTGCTCACTTCACTATATATTTAATCAGGTATCAGAATCTACTAAAATAATACTAAGATGAAAGAAGTTCAGTAATGTCTAAAAGGATAAATAACTGAGTAAAAAAAAACTTCCAATAGAAGAAAAGTTAAAATTAAGTGACATTTTGAAAGCTAGAAGACTTTTCCATTTATTTTTAATAATCTAAAAGATTGAATACTTTGAGTAAATATCAAGTGAAAGACTTGAGCTTCATCAAGATCGCCCTTTGATAACATAAATCCATTGCTTCATTCACAGTAACTTACCATAAATATGCGTAAGCATGAGTTGACAGACTAATTATAAGAAATAAAAAGGAGGCATGGGAAACAAAGGTATAGAGATGATCTTGTGTAGAGATTGAGGCAAAAAACAATACCTTGTTAATTTCCGTTTCCTCTTTGCAGCAGCAGTCATTGCCATGTAGGATGGCACTATGCTTGATACAGGCAGAGAATGCTTAGATGAGACTGAAGAAGGGTCATGTCTGCATATTAAGTAATGAAGAAAGAAGAGAAATAACTCATTTTGTACTGTAGATCAGAGGTATATATAGTCCAACAATTAGAAAAGCATTTGGTACTAATATATACAGAAAAAATATTTTCTACACTATGAAATTTTTCTAGACTATAAACTATTTTCTATACTAATGTATCTAATTTGCAGTGGGTTCTTTACTTTTCCGTGCTGTTAAGATATTTTTACATTCCCTGTTGCAAAGAAAGGTGGAGGAGTTTTTCTTCCCATATTTTGATTGGGTGTGATAAGGTAGATGACATCCATCAACCATGTTTTAGATGCTAGTTCGATAACATTAATGGAAACTATGGAATTTCCTTTAGGGAAGGCATTAATGAATAATAGCAAGGTAATCCTCCAATGATAGTTTATATTAGTAATCTCAAAGTATAAGAAGAAACTAAATACAACTTATTGTCTGTTCTAGACTAATAAAGGTCAACTGACTTAAGATATCAAATTTCAGACTTTGAAATATTGCTAGTGGGTTAAGCATCTCATTTACCTTAATTATAAGGAAGATAATTAAGATGAAACACTTTCAAAATCAAGGTACCATACTTGAACTATCAAATAAACTTCCATTACAGCAAAAGAAGAAAAATGAAGCTAGTATTTAACAGCTATATAAAAACAACAATAACAATAGTCAGCAATTTTTTTTCTTTGTACCTTTGTAAAGTACTTTTGTTTGGTAGTGATTCTTCTTCAGATAATTTACTTTTCAAACTCCTGCTGTCTTCACATACAGTAAATGTAGCGTTCAAATTCTCCTGTGTATGTTTTGTTCTTCTGGGAAGAGGGACCTCATCCTCATCCAACGTTTTCAGAGAACTGTCACTGTTTACATTTGAGCTGATAGTCTGAAAACTTGTAGTATGTGATGCTGGTCTTTTTGAGGCTCCTGGAGATGGATTTTGGAATGGTTTTCTACAGTCTTCTGGAGTGTATACAATAGGTTGAAGTTCTTTGCTAAGAGAATCATTGAGCTGCGCACTTTCAAACAACATAGATCTTTGAGTATGTTTTGTTTTTAAGGGAGAAGATATTAGTTTTCTCCGAGTTCTTTTTTGTGTAGGACTTTTAAGCAGATTAGATTCACTTAAAGATGTGCCTGTTAAAAAATATTTTAAGAACACAAAGAATATAGAGGATAAAAGATTTTCTAATTGATAAAAATTTAACGTTAAGAAAACATGATTTATTGCTAATAAGTTAAAAAAACTCCTTATTAAAGAGAATCTACAATACAGAATTAATGTATAGGTATAGTAAATATTGAGATACTGAGAAATTATAAAAACAAACATAACCAACTCCAACAATTTACAAGTACTTAAAATTGGTAGGCAAAGAGATGAATACTTTTCCTATTGTAAAATATATCAACTTAGCATTACTAGTTAGTGATTTATACTTAAGTAAAGCAATTCATAATTTTAGCCAAGTTAAAAAATACATATAAACTTGGCAGCAGTGACTTATACCTATAATCCTAACTACTCCAGAGGATGAAATCAGAGGGACACAGCTTGAAGCCAGGCCAGTCTGGAAAGTCCATGGGACTCATTTCCAATTAACTACCCAAAAAGTGAAGTAGAAGTATGATTCGAGTGTAGAGCAGAACAAGAAGCTCAGGGACAGAGTCCAGGCCCTGAGTTCAAGCTCAGTACTGGCATACACAGATACAAAAATACACGTATAGCAATCATTATAGTACATGTGTTATTCTTGTTACATTATTATTATTATGTATAGCAGAACAGTTGACAAGAGGTTCTTCTGTGGGGTAGGTTGACAATTACCCTCTAGGAAATGCAATTTAAAAACAGGAAGAAAAATATGATCCCTGTTCTACTAAGGAATTTTACTTTTCTGAGAACTAGATAAATGAGATCTAGATCTTAAAATAATTTTCCACTCCCTTTAACATGACATTTGTCAAATTTTCCATTACCAGATATTTTTATACTAATGCTGCAGTGTAAAGACAGTTACTTTTCTCCACTGTGCAGCTACCACCAATTTGGTGGCTATTAATAGCTGGAAGATTAACTTCTTTTCCCATGAGAGACACAGGGGTATAGAAGACAGAAAACTATATCAAGGATAAAGAACTGAATTGGGAGTCAGGAGACTTGAATTCTATTTCTGGCTTCACCACCAACTCACTGAGTGACCTTGGGCAACTCACTTAAGCAGTGTGGACATTGATACCCTCTAGAAAAAAAGGAATGATGTCTTTGTAGACAGGAATTTTCTAGGATTCAATGATGAAAATATTTGGAGTTCAAAAGAAGGTTCCAGAAGTATAAAATATGCTTCATCTTAGCATTGCAACTTTCACAGAGAAAGTGGCAATTTCATAGAGAGGGTAAATAGTCAATTTAGGACTAGCTGCTAAAAAAGTTCAGGGGAGACGCTAAACAAAATGAGGAGTTCAACACATACATAAAAAATTAAATCTTCTGTAACTATAAATGCAAAAGGATAATGACTTCACTTATTAATGAAAATGAAAAATATACAACAGATATTTGACTTCAAATATGATTTATAAAATATTGACATATAATAAACAATTATATTTTTTAGCCAAATTAGATATATTAAGATAGTATAGAAACTACACAGAGTATTGGGCTAGGAGAAATGAAGCATTCATAGGTTGTAAGAACTACTGAATATGTTTGGCCTATGTCTATAAAAGAGATTCTTTGTACTTTTCCATTACAAGAAAAAGGCGCATAGTACATTTCCAGAACAGGCTTGTGTTTCTCTACAGAGCCCCTCATTCAGCTTGTGAAAATCCTAACTAGCAAGATTCCAAAATTTTGAGAATGCAGTGTAGAAATGATAAAGGAACCTGAAAGCAAATTATAATCCCACAGAATGAGAAAGGAAATTGGAGAATGTCAGAAGAAAAGATCTTAATAGATGATATCGTCAATAAAATATCTTACAGTTTCAGCACTAACCAGAAAGGGCTAGGACATTAAAAATAAATTGTTAGGGCTGGGAAGGTGGCTCAGTGGTAGAGCGCTTGCCTTGCATGCTCAAGGCCCTGGGTTCGATTCCTCAGCACCACATAAGAAAAAAAAGAAAAAAGCCGGAAGTGGTGCTGTGGCTCAAGTGGTAGAGCGCTAGCCTTGAGCTGAAGAGCTGAGGGACAGCGTCCAGGCCCAGAGTTTAGGCCCCATGACTGGACCCCCCAAAAAATAAAATAAAATAAATTGTTATAACCTGGGATAGAAAACACAAATAGCCATTTATTAGGCCAATGAATCTTTTCTCTACAAGAGTTAGATCAGTGTATCATATATTTAAGTATAGGTGCCATGGTAGTAATGTACCTTATAATTTTTTGATAATTTTACTATTTTAGATCCTCTTTTGGGGGCTTAAAAGTCTCATATTATAGATGTACTGTATTAAATTTCTATTGACCTGAGATAGTTATGACTCATGAGATGTAACTGAATGTGAACTCTTCACAAAATTCATAGCCAAACAGTAATAAATATAATGTTAGGACATGTAAGTCACTGCTATTAATTCTAATCCTGAATCTATATTTGTATTATTTTCTATAGAAAAAAAAAGACTTTCTAGCTACAGTTTGGGAACAATAATCTAAGAGATTTCACTGTAATGAGAATTTTAAGAGTTTGGGGAAGTAATATGGTAGCCAGGGAAGAACATTCTAATGATGGGTTATATGGTTTGAGACTCAACCAGTTATGATGCAGGTTTTGTAAAGATTTGGTGAAAGAAGAGAGGAAATAACAAAGATCCAATGGCAACAATCAATTTGTTGAGCTTAAGGAAAAGAGAAGACTGTGGGACTGAAGTATAATTAAGTTGGTGGCAAAGTAGAAATGAGAAGAGGCCACAGAAATCAAAAGGGGCCAGGCCAATTAAACGGACAATATAAGAGTGCAGAGGGATATCTGTGGAGAATCTTAAGTTTGGACATGCTATGGTCTGACAGAAGAAAAAGATCGCTTTGCTTGCTGGTTGAGAATAGAGTTTGAATGGGCAAGATAAAACCAGGGAGGTTAGAAACAAGCCTATTGCCATAGCTCATATAGGAAAACTTGGATAAGAGTTATTGCTTGGGCTGGGAAGGTGGCTCAGTGGTAGAGTGCTTGCCTTGCATGCATGAAGCCCTGGATTCAATTCCTCAGCACCATATAAGCAGAAGAAGCCAGAAGTGGCACTGTGGCTCAAGTGGTAGAGCACTAGCCTTGAGCTGAAGAGCTGAGGGACAGCGCCCAGGCCCAGAGTTCAGGCCCCATGACTGACCAAAAAAAAAAAAAAAAGTGAGTGTGAGAGAGAGAGAGATTACTGTAGTGATGGTGAGATATAAGAAGGTGTCAGAATTAAACAACCACAAAAAAGTCAGCTCACTAGTAAAGGACAGTATAACAATTTCCTTTCATAGATCCCAGAATTAAATTTGATACGTCAGTATTTGTGAATATGAAAAACACTACAGTTGATGTCTATTTTCCTAAGTGTATTTAAAAAATGCTTACACTTAAATTACTCTTTTAATTATTATAATGCTGTTAAGCTAGTTCATCCTCAAGTATATGCAATATCCAAATAATTGTGAACAAATTGTCTGGCTTGGTTTAATCTCTATTCAGAAGAAAAGTAAATTATACTTTACATATGAATGTTTCTTAGTAGCAAAGAAATTTAAAGGCTTATATAACTAATCAACTAGTGTTCAGTTAAATTTTGTCATTTTATAGTTTGTTATTTATAGTAAGAAAACGATATGGTCAAAGTCATAGTATCATTTATATTAGTTACTGGTACACTTGAAGTTATATTTGGTCATTCTGTTTATTGAGAGTAGTCAGGTAATAAAAAGAAGCAATATAAAGTAATAACATAGGTGATTAACATAATGAAGATTTATATAAAGCAAATGCTCTTTCCAGGTCCAAAAATAGGAACAAAAGTTAATATTCTACAAAATGAGATGGTATCTCCGGACTACCATTATACAAAAAGAAAATAAGTGGATTAAATGTGGAAACCTTTATAACTTAAAATTAGGTTTTTATAAAAACTAAAAACCTAGCATGCTTGAGGCCCTAGGTTAGATTTCTAGCACAACAAAGAAACCAAACCCCAAAAAGCAAAATGCACACAACATATTTGGCAAAAGGATAACAGCTCATGTTATATATATATACCTCTAATGATGCATATGTTTGTAGGTCTATTTATTGAAACAAAATAAATTAGAAAACAACAATAAAAATCAGGCAAAGGAAATGAAGAAGAAATTAATTCAGAACAATTTAACAAGAGGTTTCTAGTCAACTGCTGATAACATGCTTGTGATCCTATCTACTTAAGAGGTAGAAATTGTGGCTCACAATTCAGTCACTTATGGCAGAGAAAGCCTAGAGATGAATCGCCTATTAACTAGCAAAAAGTCCAAAGTGGAAGCATGGCTCAAGCGAGTACCAACCTTAGTGAAAAAGCCAAGCCAGAATGTGAAGCCGAGTTCAAGTCCCAGACCTTCCCACCACTTCTCTAAGAGAAAGTAGCAAGTAGTGTTTGAAAATTTCCCACATGGTTCCATTTAAAAAGGGGATGAGCTATTTAATCACTAAAGAGTTTAAAATCCTAGTTTTAAAAAATGGACAGGCCTTTTCGGACACCTTTGATGTACCCTGTCCTGGGTTCTAAATAATTTTATCCTGAAGAACTAATTTATCAAAAGCGTAAGACTGAAAAAAAAAAGACGAAACGAAAGTTTAAGACTGAAAACACTGAAAGTTAGCGTAAAAAACAGAATGCAGGATTTAACAAACATGAGTCACAGACGCAAAGTAGAGTTTCTGTGATCGTGAGACATTGATGAATGGGATCAGATCTAATTGAGATTTGGCACAAAATGATGGCAAGGTTATTTCGTTTGCTAGCACTCCTGTTAATATGTACGTGAAGAGATATTTTGGGAAACTGCTCAATGGCAAGTAGGTAGCTAGGTTCTAGAGTGACATCAAGTATTAATATATGCATTTCAATAAACATTTTGAGGCTAAAAATGATTGATTCAAAAATTACTGTACTAATCCTAAGTCCAGA